ATCCCAGCTAGGATTTGTACCACAGCTATTAGTTACAATATCGGTAGAGACCACAACATCTTGAGAGATCAATAGTCTGATCAAGGACAGTACGTCCATATTCTCGGTCACGATGACCTGTGATTTCTTGACACAGGTCACGAATAATTCCATCTTCCCGATGTCACTTTCAAGGCTCGTGGTATGGTCTTCAAACCATTTCCAACGGTATCGTACACTGGGGTGGCCTGCCATGGCAGATAACATGAAAATGCCACCTTTCTGATAAATCGACCATGGTGAGATTCGAACTCGAGTTTCATGATCGGATAGATAAATAGACAGATAGATAGATAGATAGATAGATAGATAGATAGATAGATAGATTATGTTATATAAACAGGTGTTGCTTTATATAGAGATGAGAATAGACAAGTATAGAAAGAAGGCAAATATCAATCGTCAGCAAACTAGCTAGCTAGATGTTTGGAAGCGTATGTTGCAGAATAACTCACTATTTTTTTGTATTTAATTATTCCCCACAAGTTCAGGTTGTGACACAAGGTCGGTTTAGTGTGGGGAGCCTGAGCACGTACACCCGGGCTAGGAACAAAAATTACAGCCCCCGCAACTGTCGGTTGCGCTGGTCTCGGTGCTAGCACCAATCCCTCTCTCTAGTGCAATGAGATGGCGCGGCCTCACGCAGCTGTTCCCCAGGGCTGGACACCTCTCAGTATAACTTTCCCCAGTTGCCCCTGAGTGCACTCTGCTCAAAGACAGAAACGCAACTCAGAGACGATAAATAACGTGTTACAAACTACTCGAGAGAGTAATTGGTCCACTACTAAAACATTTTTCCGGTATGGTTTACTTCGTCGGTATCTTTGATATGGACCCCTACTACTGATCAATTTTTAGCAAAGTCGTTTTTTTTCTAAGACTGGTATACATCCGTAAGTCTTAGAGAACCAGCGAGGCAAGAAATTGCTTCGCGAACGAAAGAGGTGAAGTTGTTAACCACCCGCTCATACCACACGCTCCACTCTGCTATGTACCGAGGGTCAGTCAAGAAATAATACCCGTTGTACTTTATTTTAGAAAATATTAATAAAAATTCCTGCTCTTTTTTTTTCTTTTCTTTTCTTTTTCTTTGTTTCGAGTTTATTTTGTTATTAGGTTGGTGCAAAAATAATGACGTAATAATGTCGTTTTTGACGTTAAAAATACGTCAAAAACGACATTATTACGTCATTATTTTTGCACCAACCTAATAGCTATAAAAACGTAGTATCTAAATTCATTGATTTGTTTGTTTACGGTAATTTAAAGCCAGAAACTATTTTAAGAATTATTTAGTAGATAATAATGATTTACTTATACAACATATACAACAACCTACGGGCTACCTGCCTTTTAAGTAGGTAGTTAGGCAACTGGAGCTGGCATCATGCATTGTCAAATCTCTGCCTTCGGGCAGAGACGAACCTGGACGAGGCTATGCTCAAGGGCAGATTCTCGTCCGGGGAGATAGACAAACCCGACTCCGTTTATGTGTAGTCTACGGGGAATTTTTGACCGAGTCTATGGGCTCGGATTGCCCCACATTAAATTCCACCTTGTGCCACATCCTACCACGTGGGGAGGTCGGTAAGTATTACTTATACAACCCCTACTAATTCAGCCATTCCTAGGGATAGGAGAGAGAGGAGGATTCATACCTTTCTCAGCAGTATTTGCGCGTAAGTGAATATAACGAACCCAACTGGAATTGGAACTCGGCTCTCCGATTTACAATTCCGAGCCGCTATTCATTACACCGCCCACATATCCAAGCTAGCATTCCCAAGCGGTCACCCATTTAAGTAGTGACCAGGTTCGACGTTGCTTATCTTCGATGATCGTACGAGAACCAGTGTTTCAGGGTGATATGGCAGTAAATTTAGTCTCTAGAATTTGAAGGGGAAATGTTTTCCGGGTTACATTAAACCGGCCATTCCTTAAGACGTTTTAAAAATAGCTGTTCCTCTAAACACATTTTTACGGAAATAAAATTTATTTCTTTCGTCTCACCAGTTCAGATTTTTACAGTTGGAACACGTCATACTGCTTCTAAAGAGTCGAATCACCCTCATTTCTCCCGTACACCAAAGTTCTATTCCTGCACCTCTTTTTACAAGAACTGCTAATTTGTGAAGGCTTTCCTGAACACTACAATCCTAACCTCTTCAATCAAGCATTTATCGTCATCAATCCTTCATTTCCTCTTTCATTCATATCACAGATATCTATTTTAACAATATCCCTATACATTCTCGTGCCTCTTATTGAGTGGGATTTATTATCTAAAATAACAGACACATACGAGTATATATATATATATATATATATATATATATATATATATAGGTTAGTGCAAAAATAATGACGTATTAATGTCGTTTTTTGACGTTAAAAATACGTCAAAAACAACATTATTATGTCATTATTTTTGCACCAACCTAATATATATATATATATATATATATATATATATATATATATATATATACGTATTGTGCTTATTATATAATGAGACTGGGATTATGTAAATCGAACAGGAGTGGGCATTAGCGAAGCACCTGTTATAAATTGATCAAATATCGTGCGCAAACATACCCCTTCAGTTCGCTGTTACATGAGGGTAGAAGCTGATACGTTTCCTGACGTACCGTAAAAATGGTCAGTTCAAAAATCGAGCATTGCGTCACATTAATTTTTTTAATTGTAGAAAATGGCTAACGAATCGTTTTGCACACTCGGCTAACTTAATGGGAAGAATGCATGTCAGGTGCGCAGGTGATCACGTGACAAATATTTTTTTTATGACCGTAAAGAGTATATGGAAGATCCAGCACGGTGTGAACGGCCATACACGGAAAATGTTGCGAGAATGATTCAATCAGCGAAAGCCCTTTTCGAAACGATCGACGAATCAGCATCAAATTGAATGCTACATTTTTCGAAGAATAAGTCGAAGGCTAGCACAAATTTTATCAAAGTTTTGATTAAAAATCACACAGAGGATATATTTTTTTATAATAATTTTTCCTGAGCTTTTCTTACGATTGTTATTTCTCTTAATGAGAATTATCCCCCTTGAATGAAGAACTCTCCCTCACTTAGATACGATAAATAAGCCGTCTAACTCTGCCGCCCTATTCAAGATCAATAAAGCTTTCTGAAGTTTTCCCCCGCCTCGAGTTGTTATTACACTTACGTAGAGAAGAGCGTCTTTCTGGATCTAGTAAATATACAGGATTAGACACAAATATATTCTACATTAACAAAAATCCCTTAAAATTTGATCATTTGCTCATATATAGAGAATATATTTTTATACTAATGTTAACTAAGTTTAAGACCCATGAGCCTCTCAAGGTAGAGGATTACTTTGTGTTGTTGTATGAGTGTCAGAAATGTTGATGGGTCTATGCTAGAAAGATAACGGTTAACCATAGACTCGAAGAGGTCAATATTGTAGTGACACATACTACGAAAATAGCGAGAGGCTCACGTCTTTTGGTCTGTGGGGAAAGAGTTTGTTGGGTGGAAAATATCGACCCAACCAAGAAAGGATAAAAAAAGCACGATGTTTGATCATTTGGTTAGATCAGTGGTTTCTTTGGGCACAAACATTTTTGTCATTTTTGCCTGTCAAATTAAATTTTGAATAATAGAGTACATCTTCTGTCTATATTTCTGAGATGAGGTATTATGTACATTATTCGGACTATTGTCCTCATCTTTGTCGCCATATTTATCACAACGTTTCGGCCGTTGTACGCTCCGGCCTTCTTCAGGTGGTTGGAATTTCGAACTGAACCCTTTATTTCGCTCACTGGAGTAGACTCAAGGACACATGGCACAGTGGATAAAGACGTTGGTTAGATCCAAAGAGTGTGAGTTCAATACCCGGTTAAGGCAGTGGAGAACTTTCAGAATGAAATTAACAGGAGATAACTGATAACTGACATCCATCAAACATGGCACGTGGAACTAGAACAGTCGGCTATTAGGCTAGATTTTGGGAAGTGATTTTCGACTATAATTCTTTTAAACATTATCAAAATCAATTAAAACCTGGGCATTTTATTGATTTTTATATGACTACTTTAAAATAATTTTAAATTTGGAAATATGCAGGGTGGTCCGAATTTACTGTCACCTGCTACCAAAAAGTAATGAGAACAATAGAACAAGTATTACAGTAATACAAAGCGCTTGTTCTGGATTCAGTTTATTCAATTTAATTGACGCTATCACGTATAGAGAAGGTCTGTCTGGACACCATCATTTTCGTGGTATAAAATGATGCGACGCCATGTCCTGTGTTATATTTTACGAAGCTCGGCTTTTTTAATTGTTACAAAGGCTCTCCGGCCGACGTCCTTCAGCTGATGGGTATTCTGGTATTGTTCATGTAAAATTCTCATAACATCACACAGAACGTTAAAATGGAAAATTATATTATTTAGGGGTGACAAGACTTTCGGACCACGAGACTATTTTATGTAAGGGGTGACTATACTTTCGGACCACCATAAATTATTATATGGGGGGGTGAGACGACTTTTGGACCACCCTGTATGTACGCGTTTGTTCGTTATCGTGAAAATAAATTTCAACTGGAATTATCATACACTATTCTGTCGTCAATATTTCTTTATTTTCATCATATTTTGCGTGTATATTATTTTTGTTCTGTTTTTCCCCAAAGTCCCAAGAGCCACTCAAAGTAGATGGATACTGAAATTTTCAGGGACTTACGAATAGATTACGAGTATAATCTATCCTACGTATAGATAACGTCAAACATTATCTATATGTAGAAATAGATAACAGTTGACGTTACTTGAAGAGGTTACGAACAGAATAAGAAGCGGGGAAGGATGTTTTGGTCCTCCAACATGGCGGGTCTTAGCTGCGAAAGTCCAAACTAGTGGGAGTGTAGAATTTAGCTCGTCAGAACATTTTCCATGGAAATAGCGATAGTGTTGCGATCTTCCGTCTGTCGAAAAGATGTGGCAATTTTTCATCACTTGCAAAGCCGCGTAAACACTTTTGAACTAAGGCGGGAAATAGAGGATTGGACCTCTCCAGTTCAGGTATTTATTTAATTGGATTTGCCCCTAGCAAGGCACTAAAACCCCTAAGACAGAAGGGTGTGAAAGAATTAGAAAGCAGAAACATTACTAAGGAGAGAGAGAGAGAGAAATAGAATATTAATCAGGAAGAGTAGTCTGTAGGTAACGATTGGAATTGCATTTAAGTTTTTCAAGACTAAAGCTAACTGGAAAGCATGGAGCCAGAATAGAGATCCACAAGCGAGAAAAGAAACTCTTAGCATAGAACTTACGGTTGAATTTAGCCAATTCAACTGTAAATTGATGAGACGTTGTTGCCTATCTATTTTTTTTTTTATCTCGTGACCCATAGGGTCGTATGGGCACCATATGTACTGCAGCTACAGTAGAAGTAGTGTTTCTTGGACAAGATAACCTGACGGAGTCCCACCATCTCCAGGCTGGTTTTGAATTCAGAGTTTTTCTTTCCTTCTAGACTGTTTGCCACCCAAGATTATAGAACCTAATCTGTTCTGCTATTTGCCCATAGCTGAGCGGGGATGGAAGAAGAGGATTTATACCTTTCCCAAGGGTAGTAGCACGTAGGTGAATGTAATGGCTCCGACTGGAATTCGAACTCCGATTTCTCAATCCGAGCCGCTATCCATTACTCCACCCTGTCAGTGTAGTACTGTGTTTAAATTCATAAAGTCTCCATACCATAGCGAAGAGCTCATCCGAACAATTGCCATGAAAGTATTTATAGAAAAGGCAGAGGGAGGCTATCTTACGATAATGGAAAAGTTACTGAAGCCGAGCCGCCAGATCAAGACTGTTAATATAGCTGATTCTTCCTTGGATTTTATCAAGGAGCTTAAGTGATATACAATAGAAATTGCTGTTGCATCTAGTCAACTTAACTCTAAATTCATGAGATCTCTACGCTAGTTTAGTACTGATCTTAAATTCAAAAAGTCTAGGTACCATAGCTAAGATCTCATCTGAACAATTATCATAAAAGTTTTTTTTTTTATAGAAAAGCCACAGGGAAGCAACCTTACGGTGGCGAGAAAGTGAATGAAGCCGAGACGCCAGATCAAGACCAATAATATTGCTGATTCTTCTTTGGATTTTATCAAGAATCTTCAAATATATAGCAGGAGCATCGGTCCATATGTGGCAGCAGCTTTCTAAGCATGGATGAATGATATATTTATAGAAATATAGGATAGACCCTGGAAAGAGAGAAAAATGTCTAATACGACACAATGAAGGAACTTTCTGAGCAGCTGACCTATGGATTCAATGTAGTCTTCTCATTTCATGTCAGCTCAGAATGTTAGTCCAAGACGGCGCAATGTCACTCACCTGGAGGTCAGCATCAGCCATACCGATGGAAGGCAGAAAAGAGTCTCTCAGGTTATTGACAACAGTTTTGTTTTGGAAATGGCAGTAATAATTCATATTTTGATCTGATCTGACTCTTGAAAAGACAGAACATTTGCATGAGGAATCAGGTAATTTCTGGAGTTGTATAAGAGTCGGCCATTTTTTTTTTAATTTCCAGCGTCTTTAGCGAGGGATCGTATTTATAAGTTTCACGGGGTATGGACTGAGCTTAAGTCCTAAAAGTACCTAAAAACAAAAAAAGCTTCTTTGAAAGTGACACTATTCATTAAGATTGGTGAGTATTTTGGGTCTGCAAGATAATGCCTATTAGTTTGTGCTGAAACATTATTCTTCGACTTGGTATTTCAATGAAACAATTCTTGAGAAAATCCAAAGAAGAATCAGCAATATTATTGGCCCTGATCTGGCGTCTCAGCTTCATTCAATTTCTCACCACCATAAGGTTGCTTCCCTGTGGATTTTCTATAAAAACGTTTATGATAATTGTTCAGATGAAATACTAACAGCTACAATCTTGATCTGTTTAAGACCTAGGGTCAAGGAATATCTATCGTAATCGTCTACATAATACTCACTTACTTCCTCCTTATCTCCTTTACAAGATTACTCACTTAACTTCTACCTTGACTGGCTCCTGTATTGGATAAACAAGCGGTAATAAATAGACTAGCATGGGGAAACATGCAAAACAGAAATAAGATGACAGATATACTAATCAGATATATCAAAAAATAATGGCAATGCATCAAGTTTCATCAGTTCCTTCATCCTGGCTCCCGGCATGGCGCTCAGTCCGCACGGTGCACTTATTATTTTTTTTAAATAATTTTCTCGAAGGCACCTCTATTTTGTTACATATTTATCGAACTTATAATACACGGATTTCCCGATGGTAGTTTTATTTGATAAGTTCGCCGGCATGTCTATTAGAGAAGGTACTTGATAGGGGAAAAAAGAATATACAAGATCAAAGAACATAATTAATAAACCGTAAGCCGTAACACCAGGAAAGAGACAGCAGACGTTTCTGGAACACATAATGAGGAAGGAGGGCCTGGAGAGTCTGATACTCACAGGTCGAATAGAGGGAAAGAGAGAAAATGGAAAACAACGCGTGACATACATGGCGGGCGTAAGTAAGAGAAAGACAGAGCGTGGTCTGGGTGAGAAAGCAGAGGGAAGGTACTTGTTGAGAGCTGTAAAGGATAGAAGGAGGTGGAGAGCCATGATCGCCTACGTCCTGAAAGGACATGGCACATAAAAAAAGAAAAGAAAGTGTAGGTTGCAAATGCGTTTCACAGATTTCTCTAATTGCTAAAAGTCACGCTGGAAACTACTGCATCAACGTCTTCGTACGGGATAAAATATTGACTGTATGTTTCTGGATGGCGTTTAATACAACGCCGAAGATGTCTATAGCGAGGTGCACTAAAAAGAAGAACTCGTTTATTTCTTTGCCCTGAGTGGGCAATTTTAGCTCGTAAATAGAAGTTATGCTGACCAAATAGTAACCTACATTTTACCGAAGCAAAGAGAATGTAATTGCATTAAATCGTACACTATGTTTTATATATATATATATATATATATATATATATATATATATGTGTGTGTGTGTGTGTGTGTGTGTGTGTGTGTGTGTGTGTGTGTGTTATAAATTAACTGATTTAAAATATGGTTTCTTCGTTACACAGGAATTACCATTTTTCAAAAACCGAAGCAAAAAACTTCAAATGTAATTATATAAATTAAAAGCATTAGTTCTGTTTCATCTTCAAGCAAATTTTGGAACAAATTTTTAAAAAAATTTACTGAGTTTTAAACGCACATACAATTCATAATTTTTTGTTTACAAGGATACAGAGAATATATATATATATATATATATATATATATATGTAAAAAATTCAGTAAGATTATATCTGTAAAAGCACAATACGACTAAAACTTATCTTAGCAAACTCGTTGCGTCCTCTGAGGGGCTTGATAAATTCGCTCAGAGAACTAAAAGTGTCTGCTATGATAAGTTTTCCTTTTGTCTATATTCATATATATATATATATATATATATGTGTGTGTGTGGTGGGGGGAAAAAGAGAGAGTGTGTCTATTCATCTATTATCTGTATACAGGCGGTATCCTACCAATATAAGTTCTGGGTCATTCTAATATCTTTCCCAAATAAATCAAGCTGACTTAGCACTTCAAACAGCTCTTTACGTCGTCCTGGAGCTCATATAAGAAATATGGTTGCACTGAGAATATCATGAACTGAATATGTGAGTAACAAGAAAGTACATAGCAGAAGCACCAGTCTAGATGTAACAAAAATATTCAATGCATGAACGAATAGTAGACTTATAAATGTGTAAGGTAGATTCAGGCGTTAAAAGTTGCCTCGCACGGCACATTGAACCATCCTTCTTAGAGCAGATCTAGCAAGTGATGCAATATAATATTACCACTTCAATTACTAGATATTAAGTACTCTTCCATCATTATTAAAGTAACTTATAAAAACAATTCATATATATAAATATATATATGTCTGTGTGTGTGTGCGTGTGAGTGTGTTATACAAAAAAAAACAATTTATACAAAGAATTAATTAGTAATGTTAATGTAATTAATGACGAAATCACTTCGCTAAGAGGAATTAATGAGACATTAACTTACTTTCAATTCGTTGAATAATAACATCCTTATATTCGAAATGTTGTTAGATGGAAGATACATGCCAATTACTTTCGACAATTTCAGATTGTCATTTTCAGGGTGTAATTTTCCCATACACAGGCGTGTAGACCGAAAGATTTTTTTAAAAGTATCCCGTTTATTGACAGTTAAATTCATGTTTTAGATCGTGCAATGCTGTGACGTTAGAGTTCTTGTTCAAATCAATCAAGTGAGAATTTTGTTTGAATTTTGAAAAGTGACAACAACTCGAATATAATTATTCAAGGAATTGATAGTTTGTACCATTAAATCATGTTAGCGAAGTGATTTCGCCATTAATTACATTAGCATTGCTAATTAATTCATTGTAAAAATCGCTTCTTTATGATATAAAATATAGACTGCACACTGTAATATATACATATATATATATATATATATATACATACATATATATATATATATATGTGTGTGTGTGTATGCTTGCGTATGAGTAAGTAAAATTCTGAGAAATAAACATTATGCCTGTGCGTGTGTATTTATATTTTGTCGTCTATATAACGTCTACAAATGCAATAAAACACACATAAACAAGCTTCACATACACATATCTACACATATGTATGTGTTTGTAAATGGCCACCACCCCTTAAGTGGCATATGTGTTGCACGCTTGGACGATGATGTCTCTTTTCGATTCATAATTAAATTGGCAGAAGAATTAGGAGTAGGATGCCATGACTTAATGCAGCAGACTGGTTACCAACCAAGGCTATAGGTCTCCATCTGTGCTGTTATTTATCTGAGAAGAAATGGGTTCATACCTTTCCCAAGGTTATTTTCGCGTCTTCGAATGTAACGAACCTGACTGGAATTCGAACTCAGCTCTCATTCCGGACCATTATGCATTACACTCGACGCACATCCATTTAAATATATGATATTTACATTTATACATGTCTAGTTTAGGTTGTTTTGACTTGATACCAATTTTTAAAGAGAAAGCTTAAGTTTAGAGACATTCATCGATGATAGTTTTAGAGAATAAACAAATTCAATTTTTAGACATATTTGCGCATCATGTTGTAAAAAATCAATGTATATTTTGACCATCATTTCAAATGAACGCAGCAATCATTCTCGTTCCATATATATTCTTTAAAAAAAATTATGTCCATTTAGTACGACCAATAATTCATTTGGGCCCACTCATCCAAATATAGAAATAGACGGAGCCGCAAATATCATGAATGCTTTTTTCAAACGGCTACTACGATAAACATTCTGCCTATACTGCCGGACATGTGTGGCTTGTTAACACAGACTTATGTTTGAAGGTCCAAATTCAAATTTATAAATCCATCTCGTCCTACTCTTAATATCGCACCCCACAAATATCTTTTATATACCCTGTCCTTTTAGGACCTTGTCGATCATGACTCTCCACGATTTCCTATCCGTTGTATTTCTTAGTGTTATGGTCCGGTTCCTTGTACCGCGGTGATAGTCCAAGGTAGAACCAATAAAGAAGAACTCGAACACGGATATGGAATAACACAGATATATTACAAACAGGAATATATACAGAGAAGTAGAAAGTGTTAGTACGAACAATCAGGTTTAGTAGTAATGGTCTGAACGCGACTCTGTTTCGAACTGACTGAATCGCTCGCTCTGACTGACTCCTGACGGACTTCACTCGAGAATTCAAACTGAACTCCCTGCTTACGTATGGAATAGTCCATTATATTATTATGGGTAAGGTCCCATAACACTTAGTAAGTTTTGTTATTTGCTATCCCCCTCCCTTTAGCCGTTTTGATAACCATTTGTAAATCTCTTCTCTCCCTGTTTCCTTCAGTGTGTTCTCTGAGTGTCAAAACTCCCAGCCGTCTTTTCTCATTACGTGTCCTAAAAATTGCAATTGTCTCTTTCTGATTCCGAATAAAAATGTCTTTTTTTGTTTCTATTTTCATTAAAACTTCCTTGTTACTCACATATTCAGTCCATGATATTCTCAGTACAACGATATTTCTTTTATGAAATCCAGAATATTTGGTTACCGTCCATCAGATTGTATGATGCTAACTTCTAAGAGAGTGACTCGTTGCGCCATTTTGGGCTAAAGTTTCCCGCCATTTTGGGCTAACGTTTCCCGCTGACGTGAAGTGGAAGTATCATATTGAATCAAATGCAAAGTCTTTTGCTAAGACGATTGGTTCACTATATCGGGCTAGGCAATTTTTTCTCGCCACAATCTGTCTTACAGATTTATAAATCTAGTATTCGCCCATACATTGAATATTGTTGTCATATCTGGTCTAGTGTTTCTGCCTATGTATTTAGAGATTCTTGATAAAATCCAAACAAGAATTCGCACTTTCATTGGTTCTCACCTGACGCCTCAGTGTCAGTCACTTTCTCACTACCGTATGGCATTTCTCTTGTTCTCTTTCTATACATATTTACATGGTTATTGTTCTGATAAGCTTTTATTTTCGTACGTCGCCCTTACGAATTTAAGCGCAGTACTAGATTGGTAACTATATATCATCCTTTTTCAGTTGAAGTGGATAAATATAACCGTAGATTCTATGCTAGCAGTTTCTCCTCTTGCGCTTCTCGCTTTTAAAACACTTTTCTGGCCTCTTGATTTCTAGTCAGTTTTGATCTTCAAAACATTAAATGCAATGTCTATCGTTGTCTCTTGTCTTCTCTATCCTCCTTGATTTACTGTTCTCTTTTCATAATTGTTGTGGATTCCGGGATGAAATCCGGTACCAATAAATCCACCAAGAAGGAATACAGGAAAATAAATGTATTAATGTAATTTTTTTTTTAAGCATTACGCCCCGAGCGAGGCGTGAAGCCACTAAGATGCAGGGGGCTGCGGAAGATTCGGAGCGAGGTCAGATAGGAGTGATAGAAGAAAGGATGAGGAGAAGGATAGTGAATAGATCAAGGTAACTGGAGATGTCGATTGACATTATATTTGAATAGCTGGAGATTATAGCTCTCAGGGAAACAGTAATTGGGAAGGGTGTTCCACAGGCGAGAGGTGCGAGGTATGAAGCTATTGGAGTAGAAGAGACGGCTACATTTAAAAGTTTCTACAGTGTAAGGGTGGGAGCGGGATGCCAGCCTCGTAGGGCGCTTGAATTCATGGAGTCTGGGAATCAGTGAAAGCAGCTCATCGGAGCAATTACAATGAAAGTATTTGTAGAAAAGACAGAGAGAGGCGACGGCGCGTCTGTGAGAGAGTAACTGTAGGCGAGACGCCAGATCAGGGCCAATTATATTACATATCCGTCTCTGGATCTTGTCAAGAATTCCGAGGTAAACAGAAGGTGCACCAGACCATATATGGCAGCAATACTCCATGCAAGGGCGAATGGTTGATTTCTATATTTGAAGTATCGATTCCGGGGAGAAAAATTTCCTGGCGCGGCACAGAGAGCCAACTTTCCTCGCGCTGGAAGAAGCAATTGACTCAATGTATTTGTTCCATCTCAGGTCAGCAGCCAACATGAGACCGTACAGACACAGGGAGT